TGTTGACTTCTGGATTAAATCTTAAAAGTAAAAATGATCTGTATGGAACCTGAATGATGTTTTCCCTGAGAAATCCTTGTCCCTTTTTTTTTCCAAGTATTGGCACCTATAAAAAGTGAGGAAGTAATCAGAGTTGTGGGGGTTTTTTCACAGGTCCAACATTAGAAAGTTGAAAAAGTGGTCCCACTGTCTTCTTGTGTTTCTCTCTGTGTTTTCTAATTCTCCTTGCTGTCATAACACTTCTAATGGTTAGATGGGGTTATTTTACAATCTATGCTGCAGTAAAAGTTGAAGTAAAAGATTTGGAAATTATGTGGTCCATCATTTGTGTAGTATTTTAAGTAGCAGAAGTTTTCCCAGAAAGGATCTGAGTGAATTTCCAAAGAGTTGGTAGTTCTGTCAGAATTGTAAGGCTGAGGACTGTAAATTTTCACTTGTTAAATAGCTCTCTTAACCAATTGCAAAGGAATAGGCCAAAAGCTTAAAGGCAGTGGTTCATTGAACTCCATGGGAGACTGCACTGAAGCATGTTTCTAGTGTTACTGAGCTGTCTAGCTAGCCCTTTTTTCCCCTCTTTCAGCAGTGGAGAGTGTTTTCTATTCAGGCACAGTTGCTGACTGAAGAAGCCCTACACTCTTTGTTCATCATGGAGTAGGAACAGAAAAGCAATAGCAAAACTTCCTTATCTGTTGCACATGTCAGGACACAGTTGCGTGTGGAGAGGTATAGTGGCTTTTTGTGACTCTCAGTGGCAGTGAAAATATTTTGTTCCATTAGTTGATGTTGGAAATAGGAGCTCCTCTTAAAATACTGGGTGTTTTTTAAATACAATATATTTTAAAAGACTGTATATTTCAGTACGATAATATCAAAATGCCATGTAGCAATATTTTCACTGTTGATCGTTCTGTTGGAAGTTAATAAACATATGACTGGCTTTGAACCTCTGGAGAGGAAGCTGTGCTTGACTGGAAATGATGTCCAGTGTCTGTCCAAAGGAACCTCAACAGAGGCAAATTTTCCTTACCTACTTAGTCTGAGGTCTTGGCAGGTCTCCTGTTCTAAACAGGTTAAGTTAATGGCAGATCTACAATGAAAAGTTGAAGAAGTGCTGTTGCTAGTTCAGTGCAAAACACTCTCTAGTAAGCCTGCTTGGACTGACAGCCCAGCTTGTTTCCAAGCACTGTTTAGCAGGTAGTTTCTTTCAAGGGTGGCACCTATCAGACCAGCCCAAGCCTTCTTTTTTGGTGGTTTGTAAGAAACCATAGCTAATTAACATAATTTACATCAAAAAAAGCATTATATTCTGTGCACACATGTATGAAGCACTGTGTGAGACTCAGCTGATGCTGTCCATGCACAAATGTGATTCCTCACCAGAAAGTCACAGAGCTGTTTTTCACCAGATCTCCTTTGTCTGTCTGTGTGTTCACTCTGTGTCAAAAGTTTAACCATTCCCTCAAACACCTATTTGCAGCTCTCTGAATATGTCAATCCATTTCAAAAGATAGCAGAATGGAATGTAAGCATGTCTTTCAGATTCATGAAGGAAACTTAATAAATTCTTTAAATGTACCACTGGAGTCATGTGATACCAGTATTCAGGGTTTCAGGTTGAATGCCTGTAAGGACTGGTGACTGCCGAAAATGTATGGTCTCCTTTAAATGGCGCTTTTCACTGTCAAAGTATTCGTGACCAAAGCTTTACTCATGGAAAAATAAAACTTGGCACTTTCCAGTAAGGGCATATGTTTGAAATTCTGGAGATAGATGTATCTATTCAGAGGAGTTTGCTGAATCTGGGTGCCTTTTTTTCCTGTAACTGTAGCAAAAGGACCAGCTCTTTTCTTTGGTTAGTGACCCGCAGCTTGTTTGAGCTAGTGAGAGTTTGGAGTACTCTGCACACTCTCAGAGTGAGGCTTAAACTGCCCTAACAGGGCTTAAACTCCCCTAACAGGGGAGCTGCACAAAGATTCGTGAAAATACATATATGTGTGTGTGTGTGTGTGTGTGATGTATGTGATAGTAGGAATACCTATACCTGATGAAAGAATTTTGCAGTAGGTGAGGCTGCAGAAGTGTGACGGGGAATTTGATGCCAAATTTAGTGCTTGGCTAACAGCCTTGTCTTGTGGCTGAACTCATGGGAGAACTGCATCTGTGTTGGTTCTTCAGGCTTGTAGAAATGGGGAATAATTTTCAATTAATTCCAAAATAAGCATTCTGTACATGCATGTGGCTTCATCTCAGAGGAAGTGTGCTTATGCAAGATAGTATTTAGATATGTATTTAAGCAAATGTGTAACTGTCAGTGAAGTCATGGAACTCAGAATATGCTTAATTCCCATCCTCAGAGCAAGTCAGAGAGGAACATTTACTTGGGTAGGACTCTCCTTTTTTCAACTGCTTTTTTTAAACAGTGTAGTAGGGAATCTAGGGTGTTAGTATTGAATAGTTACTGAAGGAATTGAAATGTAGGTTAAGAGGCATAGCTTGAATTAAACATAAGAGGTGAAGAAGATTTTCAGTCCTATAGTTAACAGTGCTGTGGAGTTCCTGGTTAAGGAGGTATCTGGAAGATTAAAAAAAAAAAAAAAAAGCAGTTGCATTATTCTTCTTGTTCATTTTTCTTTTGATTTTTTTTTTAAGCCTTCAAAGTTAGTTTCCTTTGAAGGAAAGCAATATGAAATATAGCGTGTGTTGGTATTTTTTTCTATTAAAAATGTTCCTTAAGCATGGTAACATTACTTTAAAATGTGGTACATAAATAATAAAATACGTGACAGCACAGCACAAAGATTATCTTGGCACAAGTCTGGGGTGACTGAATCACTTAGAGAGCTTGATACTTGTTAATAATGTGATCATTGCAAAGTGTGCCAATGAAAACTTCATACCTCACCAGTATGTGTGAATATAATTTTTTTAGTGTGTTCTGTTTCAGCACATTTTCTAGTACTGGATACTATGGATATGTGAGCCTATGGCTTTTGTGACAAAGTGGAAACAAAGTGAGAATGGTTTCAAGAAGGAAACCATTCCTTATCACTACTGACTCTTGGCTGCCTACTCATTTGCCTTGAACCACTTTTGATGCCCATCCTATCACAAGGATGAACTAGCTCACTAAAATGGAAGATAAGTATCCTAGCAAGAAAAAAGGGAAAAATGACTTTTTTTTTTTCCTTTGTTAATAAGTTGAATTATTTTACCTTGTAATCTTATGAACAAGTCAGCCATCAGTGGTGGCAAGAAGTTGTGTGTACTAGACCTTTTGCTGTCTGCTTTTGAGTGCTTATAGGTGCACACATCAGCTCTGGAGGAAACAGTAGAGGGGTGTAATGTGTTTCTTGTGTGTTTGCTGTTAGCAGTATTGCAAGTTGTACCTTAGCTGAGGTGTATGACCAAGCAAGGCTGTTATCTACCATGTCCATGTTCACTGCAGTGATCATAAATGCCCAGTCCCAAAAGGTTCATCCTGTGGCTAAGCTGTGCAGAATGATCACAGCAAGCTCAAGTTTGTTCAGAGCTTGGAGTCAATAGCAGATGAGCATGAGGGGCATCACTATGGAGTTCTGAAGGTCTTGAACACCTGCTGAGTAAGCAAAGATTTGACTTACACACTTCTCAGTTTAGTTCTATTGATACAGTCCATAAAGTTCTCAGGCACCATCATGCCTGTTTGCAAGCACAGAGATGGGTGGGCTGGCATGAGCAGGGAGGAAGAGTCTTGTAAAGGTCACAGACTCCATCACACTGCTGGCACCTGATGTCATGCTGCCTGAAGAAGACACAATACCCTGCAGCACCACCACTCTGGATACAACTCGTTGATCTGACACAGCTTATGTGGGGTCTCACAATGGGAAAGGAAAGGGGAGAATGTGTCAAGTCTTCCTGCTGGAAGTGTTAGAAAGCAGGAGGAAGCCATGATCAGAGGGAGGGACAAGCAGTGGAGGGAAGAGCAGAGAAATTCCTCTTCCTTTTTAGCGATGGTAATCTGTTAATTTATTCCAGTAGCATCATGAACCTGCATTTGCCAAGTATTGTGTAGGATTCCTTTCTCCCTTTCTCCTGTGTCAAATACAGCTGAAGACAGGCTATGAATTTGGAAGAAAGTTTGTCTGGAGTTTGTTCTCAGTGAAAGCAGAAGAATAATTTTCATTCTTAAAAAAAAAATAAATTAATTTTTGAAGTTTATGTCAGTCACCAAAGTGGAAACCAACTGTTATTGCAAAAAGTGCAGCTGCTTAGAGATCCAAAGCATTATGAGATAACTGCAGCTATAGCTGTGTTCTTCTCTCTGTGGTGTTTGCAGTGTCTGCTTAATGTTTTCTGTTACTATAAAACAGTATGTGTTCAAAGGTGCAAGAAATTGTTCATCTCTTGTAAGCATGAATATGGCTCATGCTGTCAGAGGAGAACACTGTGGGTACCACAATCTTGTTTATCAGAATATTGTGATCCTGAAAAACACTCAAAAATCCCCTTTTGTAAAGATAGCCCTGTAACATTTAGTACTTTTGTGCTTCAGGTCAACGGGGATGTACCCCTACCACGCCTTGCTCCATGGCACTGTGTTTCAGCCAAAGGAAGAAAGTGTGTAAATTGTGTGGAAATTACTTGGAAAATAGATTTGCTATTTGCCTATGAAGAAAATGGTGGGTTTTTGTAAGGAGCATCAAGCTGTTCATGGAAGACGGGCAAAAGATGAAGCTCTTCAGAGCAGTAGTTTTATTTACGATGCCTGTATGTATCAACACACTGTTTGTTGTTCAATATTTCATTTTTTTAACAATATCTCTTTTCCTCCACTTCTTGCAATTGTCTCTTTCACTTTCTGCAAGTAGCTCAAAATGTTCTGAGTGTTGAATTTGCTGAAGATCAGAATAGAGGGTCATCTTGATGCTATGCCTGGAGGATTCCAGTCCTGGGCTTCTCTCTGCCTTCCAGTGGCTATAAAAATTCATTCCCATCCCCCTCTCCTTGTCTGATTGCAGGTTATCTTGACGAATCAGATTACCACATCTCTGAGCAGTGGCCCTGGGATCCGGGCAGACCTGGTGTCTCCAGCTGATGATTTGTCCCTGTCTGAAGGTAAGAAATCCCTTCTATCAGAGCTGCAACTCTACACGGACGCAAATCCACACTGTAACTTGCAGTCTTCTGTTGAAATACGGGGGGCTGAGAGAGTCAAATTATCAAGTCTAACCTAACACAGTCTTGAAACAAAATTATTTTCCAGTTTCTCTGAAAATCCATTTATAATTAAAAAGAAAGTATGTGAAGTAGCTAAAAGGATCAGACACTTTCTAAAGGCTGGGAATGAATATCTGAGTCATGTCAGTCTCTCATCATTGTACTGTCACTCACATACATTTAAAGCATTATTTTGTCAGTCTTCTAAAGCTGCTACAAGGGTAAATACACAGGCTAGTCTGCAAATTTCATCTTATCTAATGTTTATCAGTGATTACAAAGAGAAACAACTGGTCACAAAGGAAGGAAAGCAGATCCTCGGTCCTGTTCCTTGCATTACATTTGTTTGGTTTTCAAGTACAGTGCCTCAGACTGCAATCTCTCTCTTGTGTGAATGTAATATGGGAATTTTTGTGATACCATATATTTCTTTACATCTTTGTGCTTCTGTTTTCTGCACAGAGCTAGAGAAAAGCACTTTTTTGAGTAAGAGTGAGGAGTTAGTCTGCTAAGAAGAAAAGATAATTCTCAACCAAGGTTTACAAAGTAATATAATAATTTAGGTTTCTCCCACTTGCAAAGAATAGTCAGAGTACCCTCATGAGGGACAGATGCAGAAAAATTTATTATTTAGTGTTCAGTTCATGCATAGAACCAAATGTATGAGAATAGTCAGAGTACCCTCATGAGGGACAGATGCAGAAAAATTTATTATTTAGTGTTCAGTTCATGCATAGAACCAAATGTATGATGCAAAACAATGCTCATCTTTCTTGCAAAGGCATGATAATTGCATGTAGAATTTTCACTTTGCATGACACAGACATTTCCACTCTTTGTCTCCTTGTTGCACTTTCTGGTGGTTCTGATCAGCTTCTCTGTGTTCTGGTTCACCACACACAGTTGTCTCAAGCTTTTCTGACTTAACACAACTACAGCTCGGTGGCAAAAAGAACTAAGCAGTGGTTAAAATTGACATTATTTCTGCAACTCATTTCAGTGGACAAGAGAAAGAGGTTGAAGGTAGATTTAAACAGAATGTCAGGGAGTAGCAAGTAACTTCAGTGCAATGCCTTAACACTGATTGATATGTTTGCTTCTTAATTTTGTCAATAGAAGTCTGGCAAAGCATGGCCCATTAAATAATTTTGGAATTGTGTTTGTGGCTTTTATTGGCTCCACCCATTGCCAAAGTATCTCTGAAGTACATGGCTCAAATACTGCTTCCTCCTTGTGGCAGAAAGATTTGAAATTTGGTAACTAAATTTGGAAGATAAAGGCATAATTTTTCACCTTTATATAATTTCCTTCTTGGCACAAAATTGTTGTACATTGTCTTATTAAATTGTCTTGATCAAAGTATTTGAGCTTCTCTTTGTCCTTTAGAATTGCTGTGGATGAGCTCTGGAAAGAAAGGCACAGCTGACTCTGAAGTGGGAGTAATAACAAAATATGTTTTCAGTAAAATGTATTTTTGTCCTGTGGTTAAAATATTTGAAGATACTTAAGAAAAACACATCAAATAGTTGAAATGCTTCTAAATTTCCCAGCACGTATGGAAGATTCTCAGTGCTGTGTACGAGCTGTAGTTCAAGAATATTCTAGAATCAGGCCTACACAAGAGATGGCATAATGATTTTTCTAGCAGTTACAGGTTATTAATGAATCTATCATGTTGTGCCTAAACTACCACCACTCCTTTTCAGCTTTTAACTTAAGAATTAGTTAAAATGTATTGGTGCTCTGTGTTTCCTTCCTTTATTGCTTGTTTTTAATTAAGGATCTGAAGTAGTAAAATGTGCCAGCATCACACTTGTTGAAAATGGAAATGTTTGTTTTGCCACAGGAAAAGTACAGTACAGACATCAGCAGTGCAGGCTCCTTTGGAAATTCAAGTTTTATCAAGGGATGTAGGGCTGATAAACTCCTTTCCTTTTCTCCCTTCCCTCCTTTCTTGACTAACATTGATATAGCACTTACTTACTGTGTTGTGTAATGGAAGAACACAGTGCATCTCCACACTACATGCTTTTCTCCCTATGTCTTTCTTATTTGTAAAATGGCTGCTTCTGGATTTCCATTTTTCATTGCTTTTAACCCCTGCTGTCTGTCTCTGAGTAAATGTGGAATTTCAGGCTCATTCAACATCTGATTTCCATGCTTATCTTTCCATCAAAAGACACAGGCGTGGCCAGTGTGTTTTGGTGGGTTCTTTTAACATCGCAGTGTTGACCTGTCCTGAGAAAGTTCCCCCTTAATGTGTTTGGACGTTAGCTCTTGAACAGCCTGAAAGCAGCAATAAACATCTAATAATATTTTGTACTTTCAGACTCCTAAATTAATTAGTCTTCTAGAGTTAGTATGATAGTAACAATACTTACTTTACAGTTGTAGAATTTATGGGAAAGAGTAGTTAGGTGAGTAGCCCAAGTGCACAAAGAGTATGTGTTGCAGAGTCAGGGATAAGAGGCCAGATTTGTGACTCGGTTCTTACCTCATTGTTCCTTGTCACTCATCACCAGCTAAAGCTGAATTTGAACCAGTGACCTAGATGTGAAAGGACCCATAACACATTATTAGTTCTGTAAGCAACTCAGACTGCTTGGTTTGTATATGTCTAATATGTTGTTTTAAACCTATCTGAAATCGGAGTCCCTTCACTATAAATGGTTTGCTAAAAGGGTAATCTTTCTTAGATAGAGGCAGAAAGGAGAGTTTCAAATTAAATGTGCTATTAGAAAGAAGTAAAATGTTATAGTGTCCTTTGGTTTGGCTTCTGATTGTGCTTGAGAAGAGAATTGCTTGGGTTGTGTGTGAGATTAGGCAAGAAACCAAGGAAGCTGTTCATCTGATGTGTGACAGAAAGTTAATCTGATGAACAAGCTGAATGGACATTGTCAAGCTGTTTCAGGCTCAGAGCTTGTCTTCTGTAAAGCTGTAATCTAGTGCATGAAAACTTGTGTCCTAAAAATACGTTAGATTTTTTATGAGAATATTAATGGATTTATAAAAGCAGTGCTGGCTGTAAAATCCCACCACTTATGTAGCAATGTAAGAATTAATGAACTGTTTGTTGTTATTTCTGGTAGGAAATGGTTATGTCCAGCTAAATTCCCAGATCTGTGCATAATTCTGCTTCCAGAACAAAAAAATGCATAGTTTGTCACAGATTAAAGCGATGAATAAAATACCAAAATTTCTCTACTTATACTCTGAGTCCTTGCATTCATTTGGCCTTCACATTCTTGTCAGATTATCAACGGAAGGAGTTAGGGACTAATAATATTTTTCTCTAGCTCTAAAATCCTCAGACATGCAATGCTGTCCCTTCTTCCCTAGGAACCAAACTCGGTTTTTACTTGTAAAAACTCACAGTTTTTACTTAGCCATCTCTTAAACTGTGTCATCAGAGGGGATAGTCTGGAGGATGATGGTGGACATGGCTGTTTCTCTTCCATCCTTGCTTTGTGGAATAGCCTCTGTTTAGTTCTTCCAGTCAAAGACAACTTGGAGAAGCCTAAAGTTATTTCACATTGTGAGGGTGGTCAGACAAGCCCAGGAGAACCCTAAGAGCTAATGCTTTATCATTTCCATATAAAAAATAGCTCTTGCCCAGTTAAAATAATACCTTATTAAAAAAAAAAAAGGGGGATTCAAGCTGCATTAGTCTTCATGAACACTAGGAATATTTTAATGACTGTTGCTGTTAATGGGTTTTTTTAAACAAGTTATCTGTGTCTGTGACTGCACTATTTTTGCTATTTTTGTGAAATTCACATGACTAAATTTTACCTAATATAAAAAGTCTTTAGAAACTATTTCTAAGCCTGTGTATTTCAGCACTAGGTAGACAGGGAAATTTGGCTTTCATTTGTGTGCTGCAAAGAGATAGGACAAGATAACCTACTTGAGGTCCCTTCTAGTCTACCAGTGCCTATGCTATTAATGTATTTGCCAGCTGCAAGCTCAAACTTCCTCTCACAAACATCAAAGCCAAACTTCATATTTCTTGGAAAAAGTTCAGGGGTGTGTTGGTATGAACAAGAACAGTATCCTCCTCCCACCCTGCACAACGTGTCAAAGCGAAAAAAAAGAATGCTGTCTTGGGCTTCTTCAGTCTCAGCTAGTACTTTCAAATCTTTGTTTGAAAAATTCAGAATTATTTTGTGTTTAAAATTGTCTCTAAACTTGCACTAGATCTGGGGAGGCCAGTGTTCAGTCTTCTGCCATTTGTGTTCATCAAGTGGTTTGTCATAGTATTGTATATTTTTAGTGCACAGTGTGAGCTATGAGTTTAGTCTGACCTTTTCATCTTTGTTGCTGTGATCTTGAATTCTTTTAAGTTGTTGAGCAGAAGTAGGCTTTTGTGTTATGCAGACTGGAGAACACTGAGCTACCATAATATCTTACACCCACAGGATTTTCCTACTTTAGTTTAGGAGCAGGAGATTTGAAGCCAGAATCTTCAGCTTCTCTTCCGTGCTTTGTCCTTGATCCGTTGACATATTATGGTTAAACTGTTTTATTCTTCCAGCCTCAGTTTACCTTTTTTTTAAAATTTGGGGCTTTTTTTTTATTCTGCAACCTGTTTTGCTTAATATTTTGAGATCCTCCTATGGGGAAAATAATAGATTGACCTTCTCCTCACCTCAGTAAGATCAGTTCTGTAGTTTATTACTTCTCTCCCTTCAAATCTCCTTTTTTCAGTCCTGGTGCCAAATGGAGTGAAAACACTGAAGGAATTATCAAGTGAACTGAGGAGCCCCCAGAGATCAGAGGCTGTTGGTTGGTTTAGGTTTGTTTATTTACTGATTTATGTGTATACTTTATGCTTAGGGTTGGACCCACAGGTGACTTAATTAAAAATAAAGTATATTCTGTGAAGCATAAACATACCT